ATAATTTTCCTGAGGATTGGAAATTTATCCTGATACCGGCATTCAGGTTTTTTGTAGCATCATCAAGCATTGCTGCATAGAAGAGATTGAAAAAGAGTGGACCAATAATGGAGCCCTGCTTAATACCATTAGTAATAGGAAATAGGTTGGACAGAACACCATCTACTATTTCCATCATGAAATAGTCTCAGAATGTTGGTCAATTTTTCTGGACAACAAAACTTACATAACACTTACCAAAGGCCAGGTCTACTGATGGTGTCAAATGCTTTAGCCAGGTCTATAAAGACAGGTGCTGTTATCTGCATTTCTTATGCATCTGATGGACTACCAATATCAAGTCTGCCATACCTCATGTTGGCCCAAAACCGCATTGCGATTCCAGTAGCGTGAAGTTAATGACGGGGTGGGGGGAAGCCGAGGCACAAAATGAGATCATACTAGCTAGGGACATAAAAGGAAACAAGTACTCCAAATATATTAGAAGCAAGAGGAAGACCAAGGACAGAGTAGACCCATTACTCAATGAGGGGGGAAAGACAACAACAGAAAATGTGGAAATTGCAGAGGTGCTTAATGACTTCTTTCTTTCAGTCTCCACCCAGAAGGTTGGTGGCAATTGAACATCTAACATAGTGAATGCCAGTAAAAATGAGGTAGGATCAGAGTCTAAAATAGGGAAAGAACAAGTCAAAAATTATTTAGACAAGTTAGATGTCTTCAAATCACCAGGGCCTGATGAAATGCATCCTAGAATACTCAAGGAGCTGACTGAGGAGATATCTGAGCCATTAGCAGTTATCTTTGAAAAGTCGTGGAAAATGGGAGACATTCCAGAAGACTTGAAAAGGGCAAATATAGTGCCCACCTATAAAAAGGGAAATAAGGACAACCTGGGAAATTACAGACCAGTCATCTTAATTTCTGTACCCAGAAAGATAATGGAGCAAATAATTAAGCAATCAATTTGCAAACACCTAGAAGATAATAAGGTGATAAATAACAGTCAGCATGGATTGGTCAAGAACAAATAGTGTCAAACCAACCTGATAGCTTTCTTTGACAGGGTAACAAGCCTTGTGGATAGTGGGGAAGCGGTAGATGTGGTATATCTTGACTGTAGGAAGGCTTTTGATACTGGGTATGTCTACAATGGAAACTTCAAAGTGCTGCTGAGGGGATTAGCTCTGAGTGCTGGAAGCCCAGCTCCCAGCGCTCAGAGCCTGTCTACACTAGCGCTTTAAAGCACTCAGACTTGCTGTGCTCAGGGGGGTGATTTTTCACACTCCTGAGCCAGCAAGTTAGAGCGTTATAAAATGTGAGTGCAGACATACCCACTGTCTCACACAGATGGAGCTACTACAAGGTGAGTGTATAACTTGTTGGAAAATCGTTCCCAGAGAGTAGTTATGAGTGGTTCACAGTCATGCTGTAAGGGCATAACGAGTGGGATCCTGCAGGGATCGTTTCTGGATCCGGTTCTGTTCAATATCTTCATCAATGATTTAGATAATGGCATACAGAGTACACTTAATAAAGTTTGAGGATGATACCAAGCTGGGAGGGTTTGCAAGTGCTTTGGAAGATAGGATTAAAATTCAAAGTGATCTGGATAAACTAGAGAAATGGTCTGAAATAAACAGGATGAAATTCAATAAGGACAAATGCTAAGTACTCCACTTAGGAAGGAACAATTAGTTGCACACATACAAAATGGGAAATGACTGCCTAGGAAGGAGTACTACAAAAAGGGATCTTGGGGTCATAGTGAATCACAAGCTAAATATGAGTTAACTGTAACTCTGTTGCAAAAAAAGTAATCATTCTGGGATGTATTAGCAGGAGTATTGTAAGCAATCCATGAGAAGTAATTCTTCCGCTCTACTCCACGCTGATTAGGCCTCAACTGGAGTATTGTGTCTAGTTCTGCGCGCCACATTTTAGGAAAGATGTGGACAAATTGGAGAAAGTCCAGGAAAGGTCAACAAGACCTATAAAAGAAGATTGAAAAAAAATGGGTTTGTTTAATCTGGAGAAGAGAAGACTGAGAGGGGACATGATAACAGTTTTCAAGTACATAAAAAGTTTTTACAAGGAGAAGGGAGAAAAACTGTTCTTAACTCTGAGGATAGGACAAGAAGCAATGGGCTTAAATTGCAGCAAGGGCGATTTAGGTTGGACATTAGGAAAAACTTCCTAACTGTCAGAGTGATTAAGCACTGGAACAAATTGCCTATGGAGGTGGTGGAATCTCCATCATTGGGGATTTTTAAGAGAAGGTTGGACAAACACCTGTCAGAGATGGTCTAAATACTTAGTCCTCCCTTGAGTGCAGGGAACTGGACTAGATGACCTCTCGAGGTCCCTTCCAGTTCTATGATTCTATGTTGCATAGTAGATGATCAAAGAATATTTTAGTCAGAATCTTTCCAGCCATGGAAAGTAATGAGATACCGCAATAGTTACCACAACTGGACTTTTAACTTTTCCTTTTGTATATGGTGACAATGGTGGTGTCTTTGAAGTCTTGCGGTACATCTTCTGTACTCCGCGTATTGAGAAATAGTCTTTGCAGTCACCTCAGCAGGATCTCACCTCCATACTGGAATATTTCTGCAGGAATGCCATCAGATCTAGGAGCCCTGAACTTCTTTGTGGCACTGACTGCAGTGCTGACTTTGTCACAGGATGGGGTTGCATTCATGTTATTACATGTTGGCTGATCAATTACTGTTATTAATGTCTTGTCTCTGATGTTGGACAGTGTGTTAGATCACTTAAACGCTGTTGTCACCACTGAAGGATTTCTCTTTTGTCAACAGTCAGTGTTAGGCTGTCCACACTCTTCAATACCACTGTAGTGGTATGTGTAGGAACATATATGTCTTCAAAGCAGCACAAAGTCTTTGTTCTCATGAGGGTCAGCATAGCCCTGGATTTCATCTGCCTTGGCATTCTACCATTGATTCTGTACGTCTCTAAGCTTAGACTGGATCTCATGACCAGGGACCCTAGAAATCCATTTCCCACAGAAAAACATGGAATTTGCGTTTTTATAGAATCTTTAATTTTTACATTTTGTGAAAAAATAAAAACATATATTAACTATTAACTAAATTTTACTGAAAGTACCAGTGTTACTTATTCAGTGTGAGCAACCTCCCCCTCTTGTGGTTGATTTTTGAATGTGATTTAAATTTACATGGCTAAACATACTCCCTTACAAGTGCTATGCCTCTCTCAGGTCGGCTGGCAGTAGCGTTGTTGCATAAAGTCCTAATATTCCATGAAACATTTATAATTGGTGTTGTGAGCCACCTACATTCAAATGTGTGACTACAACCACCAGCATTACCACACCTGTGGCTTTGCCACTTGCCCATCACTGTAAAACTTTCCCCCATCATCAGATCACGGGCATGAATTATTTTCTGTGGTGATGGCTTGTGTCACACCATCCATGCTCTCTTTTCCATTCAGCAGTGCTCCAGCAGCACGCATTCCCAAGAGAACTGGTAAGAGTTAGGGTTCAGGCTATAGCTGTCAACGTGGAATTATTCCATGAGCCCTCTATAGCAGTGATTCTCAAACTTATTTGATTGGGGCCCCTTTCTTTGTGTCTGCAGTCGTTTACACACACACACACACACAAAGTACACACACAAAGTACACATACAGCAACCCAGCTCTGAAGACAGAGCAGAGAGTAGCGGCTGCTGGCCAGGCACCCAGCTCTGAAGGCAGCACCGCTGCCAGCAGCAGCACAGAAGTAAGGGAGGCAATGTGAAAAGTGGTATTTATCAATATCACTTTTCACAGCAGACTTAACTCCCCATTGCCACCCTTACTTCTGCGCTGCTGCTGCCATCCCGAGGTTGACAGCCAGAGTCCTGCCACCTCCAGGTGAGGGACTGAGGGAAGGAGAGCCCAAGCCCAGGCTACCTCCCAGTGAGGGACTAACTGTGTGTGGGGGGGGAGGAGGGGTTAGAGCAAATCCAGGTGGTGGGGCTCTGGCTGTCGGCCCCAGGATGTTGGGGCTCCAGCTGTCCCTTTTATCCTCGCCTCCCAGGTGTGCATAGCCCTTCTGCATGAGCCCCAGCCACCAAGGGTTGACAGCCAGAGCTCTTTAAAAAAAAAAAAAAAGCACACAGCTCACACCTCCCTTGATACATTCCCACGCCTCTCTTGTGTAGCCCACCCCATAGTTTGAGAACCACTGCTCTATAGTAGTAGACATCGTCTTGCAATGCCATTGTAGAGTAGAATACTCTCATCAGCCACAGAAACCACAGAAATCAACATAGTAATTAGGGGCATAGGTTAGTGAGTGTCAGGGCATGTTCACTACATTTCTGGGACCCCTTGCTGCTCCAAGATCCCTCACAGAATTTGCCTGGGCATGCAAGGACCCAGTTGGTACCACTTAGGAGGTACTGCGAGGATCTTGCCTATGCAGGGGCTATGTACCAGCAGGGAAGATTCATGCACTTGGTCTCCTTTTCACCTAGATTAGGCAGCCAATGAAGATAGTAGTAGAATCGCTATCTTGATCACCAGCACTAGATATTTCACACAGGCCTGTTCCACTAACAGTGCCATGGCACTAACCAATCTATTAGCTATGTGAGGCAGCATAAAAATAACTTTGTCAGATTGTTAGCCAACTTTATTTCAAAGAGCAAATTCATAATTTAGCAGCAGGGGAAAACTGATGCCAAGTTCTTTTTTCACTCATACTTATACCCTCATCAGCCAGTTCAATACACTTATACATGCTGACTTGCAGCTCAAATTTCAAATCTGCTGATTCAAAAGATTCCTAATCTACATCATTCAGTGTAGGAAACCTACAAATAGAGATTTGACTGGGAGAGTTTATGCAGGAAGGTGAAAGTCAGCTACATCTAACACAAAATTAGGATGACTGTATTACAGTTTTCTGTTGTAAATTTGTTTTGTGCATAAGTTCTTTCTAATCCATCAATAACTGCATAACATACCTTTAGATTCTTCAGGCTTTTTGAGAAAGAATCCAAACATATTTTTGAAGCTCCATTCTTTCTTCTTTTCCTGAAATACAAATCATTGGTATTTTTCTATGCAACAGGTTCAGAGACGGTGACGCATTGACTTGTAAGGAAAAATTAAAACAGCTAACATGTATAGAATGGCTACAAGAAAATAAGGGGAGACTTGCTGGCAGGCTACAAATATCTGAAGCATACAAAAAAACAAATTCAAACACAATTTAAATTATTTTCTTGGATATACAAATGCAATTCCCACTGAAGTCACTGGAAATGTCCAGAACATTTCCAAGGAAGAATTTGGCCCAAAAGATAAAAGAGAATTATTTGGGTGTAATTTGGAGTAATCAGATGGAATCATGGAAGGTTAGATATAGTGAAAAACTTCCCAGTGGGACATTATTACAGCATTAGGCTGTAAAAGAGCTCCTAAGTGAGTACGCAAACTTTTCCTGTCACGCCACCCTTACCATTCACAGAATTTGTCCCCCACCAACTTCCCGTCACCTGCTCTGAAGGCCAGCAGAAGTAAGGGTGGCAATGCTGCTTCTGCTGGCAGCAGCCCTGCCTTCATAGCTGGGTGATCAGAGAGGCGCAGCTGCTGGTTGGAACATATATGTTGTTTGTGGCCCGGAAGGATCATCTTTTTTTTTTAATCCCGCTCCCGTACCACTCTGCAATAACCACTCTATTTTTATCCCATTCCTGCTATTATGGCAGTGAGTCCTGCAGAATCCCAGTTTCTTTGTGCCTCCCCAAAGAACCTCTGGTACCCCCCCCCCAGAGAGGCATGCCTTCTAGTTTGTGCACAAAAATTAGTGGGTGCCAAGCTCCCCTCCCCACACTCCCACCCGCCAGCAGCCTCCTGACAATCAACTCCTCCCCCTTCCTCCGAGTGCCTCCTGCATGCCGCAGAACAGATGTTCTGCAGCATGAAGGAGGTGCTGGGAGGGAGGGGGAGGAGTGGAGATGGGGTGCACGCGGAAAGAGGTGAGGAAGAGGCGGGAGTGGGGAGGAGCAGGGTGGGAAGAGGCAAGGCAAGGGTGGGGTCTGGGGGAAGGGGTGGAGTGGGGGCAGAAGAGGTGGGTTGGGGGCTTGGGGAAAGGTGTGGATTTGGGGTAGGGCCTGGGGCTGAGTGGGGAAAATTAGAAGCCAGCACCTGTGACTGCTCTAACTCATTGTTGCATTAATACTTGATCTTCCTCTACATACAATATGCTAATGAATATGGATAAAAACCTAAATGGATGGATAGGACATTTAAAAGTTCAGTTTTGAATGTTCTCTCCATTGTTTTCCTGTTTAGCATTATTGATGACTGATGCTTAGTTTATACAACTTCTCGGTGATCAATGGTGACCTTGTCTAGGTGGGAAGTACTAAAATACTTAATTGTAGCCAGAGAACATATAAAGAAAATAAGTGGAGAAAAAAAATTAAAGATACTGTGTGGGCAACATATTATAAAAATCAATAAACAGAATCAATGTGACTTTGATTTTTTAATCACAAAATTTCTATGCAAGAGACACTTGATCAAACAATCTGAGTTTTATTGGCAGTTCTAACAATATTAATTAAAGAGAAACCCTTTGCTAGTATACTGATAAAGCAACCAAAAATTATCAATTACTGTTATAGTTTTTTGCATATATTCAAGTCCCATAACTTGTTTAAACCTACGTAACCAGCTGTACACACTGATAATATTGCCAGTGCAAATATCTAATTTTCAGTTTAAAATTTTCATGAGAGGGAAAAATAATAATTTCTCCATGATACTTGTCACCTTTAGCTGAGGGTCTCAAAGCATTTTACAAACATTAACCTTCACATTCTTTAGACACACACAAAAAATAGGAAAGAGTTTAATACTCATAAAGGAAGAAGATTTGTAACAATCAAACTATACAATTCTTTTGGGTATTAAATTTTAAACATCCAAAGTCAAGTTTTGCTTTAAGTTACATGCCTGCAAACCTATTTCAAATGTACATTTCAAATACAATTGTTATTATATTCCCTTTCTGAGTATTAAACTCTTCACTTTACCCTCTTAGTTTCCTTGAAGCATCTATGTATCTTACGTCTGTTGTTTTTGCAAATTAATACTATTTTGATATATAATGTGTTCTACAACATATTAGAGATTATGGGGGGGGGGGGAACTTATCTGAATTTGAATGCTTAAAAGTTAGTAACATGCACAGATCCAAACCCCATAAATTATAGAGAGTATAGCTGGAAGCAGAATTTGGTCCACAGGACATAATGAATTGTAAATACTAAAGGATAATCATGCTGACATGTAGGTTAAACTAATGTATTGGTGGCACATGAAACTAAACTAAATATATATAGAAATGCACACACACATACAGTCCCTTCATTAGAATCACAAGTAAAAGATGTAAACTATTTTACTCACATTAATAACATTTTACTCCAACATAAAGTTGTTTAAGGCCTTGTCTCAGGAAAGAACTTACGAATTTGTGGTCATGCTTAACTTTAAGCATGTATTTGAGTCCCATTGACATCAATGGGACTCAAGCACATGCTTAAAGTTAAGAACATGCTTAAGTGGTACACTGAATAGAAATGCTTTCCTAAATCAAGATGCTTTCCTGAATTGGTGACTGTTAATGGGCTACTCCTGTATATATAATTAATTTGTTTACTACTTCTGAAACACAAAATTTTCACTCTGAGCTCTACAAATGTTTTACAGATTCTCTGTCATATATTTAATCCGACTAATGCAGTTTTATTAAGTGATCTTTGTACACTATAGGAAGATATTGCCTCTTAACAATGGGTAATTATACATTTCTCCTAAGCGTTGGCCAAGTTTCAATGCCAAAATTCCCATAGGGTACAGCATGTATGATCATGTTTCTAATACAATAGCCTTAGACAAATCATTCCTGAAAATAGCATGACAACTCACTGTGAGGGGGCTCACTCACTTCTTGTCCATTCGGTGTGAACCTGCACTCACTCTCTCTGCTCCCAGCACCCCCTGTGAGTTGTTAACCTTGTCAGGTGGGACTTGAGCGGCCCAGCCCTCTGGCCAAGTCCCATACGGTCTCTATGCACAGACAAATCCCTTCCAGGGTAAAAGGTCCAACAGGGCCTATCCCTGTGCCCTCGTTAGTCTTTAGCCTGTCTCTAGGCTCAGTCCTCAGCCCCTTCTCAGCTAGCTTTAAGTCCTTACCGGCCCTGCTATAAAGCAATGCCCCCAGGGCTTCATCTCTGGAGACTCTGCCTTCTCAGTTTTTATTGCCCCAGCTCTCCAGCCAGATCACTTCTTCAAGTTCAGTCCCCTTCTTGGAGTAACAAATGATTGGCCCTTTGCAGGGTCTTCAGTCCTAGAGCCCTTTAAATTCCATCCCTGTGCTTGGGCTTCCACATGAAACTATTTCGACCCCATTTGAAAACCCAGTTTCTTTGCTGTCTGCAATGTTACCCTTTCCATAGATATGAATGAGATTCATGATGCCCCTAAAAATCCTCTGTAAATCAGGAGATTAGAATTGTGCTCTAAATCCCTCTCCAATAGAGCAGCCCCAGTGTTAACCCACCCGATCTTCTTTGTAATAGGAGCATTAGGGGACGAGCACTAAGGAAGCGTCGTTCTAAGTCAGCCATAAAAATGTTGGCATACTGTGGGGCCATGCAGGTACCCCTACTCTACTTGTGCTACATTGATGCCATCTTCATCATCTGGACCCATGGAAAAGAAGCCCTTGAGGAATTCCACCATGATTTCAACAATTTCCATCCCACCATCAACCTCAGCCTGGACCAATCCACAACAGTGGTCCATTTCCTGGATACTACAGTGCTAATAAGCGATGGTCACATAAACACCACCCTATACCGGAAACCTACTGACCGCTATCCTTATACATGCTTCCAGCTTCCATCCAGGACACACCACACGATCCACTGGTGACAGCCAAGCTCTAAGATACAACCACATTTGCTCCAATCCCTCAGACAGAGACAAACACCTACAAGATCTCTATCAAGCATTCTTAAAACTACAGTACCCACCTGCTGAAGTGAAAGAACAGATTGACAGAGCCAGAAGAGTACCCAGAAGTCACCTACTACAGGACAGGCCCAACAAAGAAAATAACAGAACTCCACTAGCTGTCACCTTCAGCCCCCAACTAAAACCTCTCCAGCACATCATCAAAGATCTACAACCTATCCTGAAAGACGATCCCTCACTCACGGATCTTGGGAGACAGACCAATCCTCACTTACAGACAGCCCCTCAACCTGATACAAATACTCACCAGCAACCACACACCACACAACAAAAACACTAACCCAAGAACCTATCCTTGCAACAAAGTCCGATGCTAACTCTGTCCACATATCTATTCAAGTGACACCATCAGAGGACCTAATCACATCAGCCACGCCATCAGGGGCTTGTTCACCTGCACATCTACCAACGTGATATATGCCATCATGTGCCAGCAATGCTCCTCTGCCATGTACATTGGCCAAACTGGACAGTCTCTACGCAAAAGAATAAATGGACACAAATCCAACATCAGGAATCATAACATTCAAAAACCAGTAGAACACTTCAACCTCTCTGGTCATTCAGTAACAGACTTAAAGTTGGCAATTTTGCAACAGAAAAGCTTTAAGAACAGACTCCAACAAGAAACTGCTGAACTAGAATTAATTTGCAAACTAGATACCATTAACCTGGGCTTGAATAGAGACTGGGAGTGGCTGGGTCATTACACAAATTGAATCTATTTCCCCATGTTAAGTATCCTCACACCTTCTTGTCAATTGTCTGAAATGGGCCATCTTGATTATCACTACAAAAGTTTTTTTTCTCCTGTTGATAATAGCTCATCTTAATTAATTAGCCTCTTAGAATTGGTGTGGCAACTTCCACCTTTTCATGTTCTCTGTACGTATATATATCTTCTTACTACATGTTCCATTCTATGCCTCTGATGAAGTGGGCTATAACCCACGAAAGCTTATGCTCCAATAAATGTGTTAGTCTCTAAGGTGCCACAAGTACTCCTGTTCTTTTTGCAGCTACAGACTAACATGGCTGCTACTCTGAAACCAGTAACTTGACATTCTTTTTTATACAAACCTTTTTTTCAATATCCTCATAGGCACTTCCATCTTCCTCGACCTATAAAAAAAAGATACACGATTAGTCACTTGCACTTTCAGTTGCAATGCCATTACTAACGTTTATCACTCTTTCTTTGCTCTCAGTTTTAATCTCACACACGGACAACATATAAAGAATAGTTTTGACATGCACACCATTTTCCTTTATTGTAAATTCTATTAAATCTCAAATTGACTTTTTCACTGTATTTTAATGACCTGAACAGTGTTTGTACATTTTTACTAAAAGTAAGTTATAGGCATCAATTTCTCAAGAAACATAGTGCTTGGAGAATTACAAAGACAGACAAGTTTAATCTTTTTTCCATGAAGAATATAATGACATTATCACAAACACTCAGTTATGCTAACATTTTGGATCAATATTCCAAACTATACATATTTTGTCATTTAATTTTTTTTTATCACTATACAAGGGGTTGAGTTCTGCTTTCAGATATGCAGGCACAATTCCCTTTGGGTTCAATTCTAAGGGCAGAGTATGGCCCTCAGGGCAAAACTGGGATTAGCCCTTTGAAGATGTGTGTAGAAGAGAAGGAAAGCCACAAGTAGCTCATCCTCTTCTCAAGCAGAAGCATTCTGTAATCTGAGCCTTGAGATCATCCTGTGAATAGCCTGCCAGAGTCTTGTGTCTCCGGCCGATTATGGAGTTGGAAGGGACTAGGGAGAAGTCTTCTCTCCCCAAATCTGCAAAGAGCTAGGCAGGTGAAGACTGCAGAGTGGAACATGCTATACTCTTTGAAAGGGTGTAGAGTAAGTGCCACACTTTGCTCCCCTGACACTCCTAGCAAAATTGCACGTTAAGAGAGGCTTAAAGCTGCAATATGGATCTAAAAATGTAAAATTAGAACTTGGAATAAAAGGGTATTTTAAAATATCCATTAGAACTATATTAGAAGCAGTACAACAATGACAGTACAGTTCACTGGAAGTATGATCAGACACAGACATACAGAGCCTAAAGTCCTTACTCTGCTTTTACTTATTTTTTTCTCAGACAAAACTGAAAATACTTCTGGATTTGATCTGTTATAACTGTTAAAGGTCATATAAAGGTACAAAAACTCTCCATGTTTCTTCAAAATTCTTTGTTCTTCCTCTTAAACAGTATCCCTTCAAGTGCCAGAAGGTCACTCATTTCATTATTTCAGTCCTCCATGTTCAGAATGATAGATGATTTTCAGTTTCTTTCAAATGTTCTTTTCACAAATGAAGACATTCTTAGAACTGTTTTGGAGGAACACAAACCCCTAACAACTTTCAGATTTATTCATTTATATATTTGCTAATCAGAGCACTCCTTTGATATCCGATCTCTCAGGGGTAGATTTGTATTTAAAATTATATTTAGCTTCCTCTTCCCAGTATCTGTTTTTGGGCAATGCCACAATAAATCTAGAAGATTCCCCGTTTCCTTCCACACAATGCCAGTAAAGAACTAACGCCCACATCCTGACTTTATTTGAGTTCTTACTGAAATAAGAGACTCTCTATATTTCATTTGTGTGTGTCCTTCACACTTGGAATGATAAAACAAAAAATAGTTTTATGTAGTTATTGTCTGTTTCAGGCAGATCCAAACTCCTATGCCCACGTTCCCTGCATATGACTTGGGCCTGATCACAGTTTTGACAGTGACTTCAAGCTCTGAGTCCAAAATTTGCAAAATAAGGTGCTTAAAGTCAGGCTCCTAAATCCATATTAAGGCACCCAAATAAGGATTACAGGGCCCGAACTTTAGGCACCCTTTTTTTTAAATCTTGGACTAAGCTATTAAACTGCCTCAGCAGCAGATGGCAATGCATCTCCCAGCTGTTGAGTCATTACAAGTAGTAACTGCCTCACCCATAATCTTTTCTTTTTTCCACCAAAAAAAGAATCAAATAATGAAAAAATATATATTTCCCCGTTCCAGCTAGGAAAAAGAGAGTGAGTGTGTATCAGCAAACACATTCAGAACAAAAGGTTTCAAGATCCAGGTACCATAGTTGGCCTTAGTTTTCACCACTGTTTCTTGTGATCACTGTGGTTTGCAAGTACCTCCTCCCCACTCCTCATTATGAAAACCCCACTAAAAGAAAAAACGGTTTGCTGGAAGTGAACCGTTAGTTCATGGATTTATATATTGTTTATTATTTGTGATACTATTAATCCCTGTTCTGATACTGATTAACTCTGTGTTTCAGGCATATCATTTAGCATCCTTGTTTCTTCCATATAAACTCTAGATCGGGGTGGTCAAACTACAGCCTGTGGGCCGCATCCAGCCCGTCAGGGCTTTGGATCTGGTCCGCAGGATTGCCCCCCATGGTGTGGCAGGCCCCGTGCTACTCTCAGAATTGAACGCCATCATGTCCCTGCGGCCCCGGGGGCAGGGGGGGCAGAGAGCTCCGTGCATTGCCCTTGCCTCCAGGTACCACCCCCCGAAGCTCCCATTGCCTGGGAACAGGGAATCACAGCTAATGGGAGCTTCGGGGGAGGTGGAGGCGTGGCAAGGGCAGCGCATGGAGCCATGTGCCCCTCCTACCCCAGGGGCCGCGCAGGGACGTGGTTCCAGCCGTCCGGCGTGGCATGGGGCAAGACAGGTGTGCAGGGAGCCTGCCCTGGCCCCATTGTGTGCCGCTGCCACCCCAGAGCCGCTTTAAGTAAGCAGCGTCGGGCCGGAGCCCGAACCCCTCCTGAATCCTACCCCATAACTCCCTGCCCTAAGCCCCCTGCCTGCACCTCAACTCCCTGCCCTGAGCCCCCTGCACCCTGGTGCACCCCAACTCCCTGCCTTGAGCCCCCGCTGCACCCCGCACCCCTCTTGCATCCCAACTCCCTGCCCTGAGCCTCCTGCTGCACCCCGCACTCCTCCTGCATCCCAACCCCCTGCCCTGAGCCCCCTGCTGCACCCTGCACCCCTCCTGCATCCCAACCCCCTGCCCTGAGCTCCCTCCCGCAGTCCGCACCCCTCCTCTGCCCCCAATCCCTTGCCCTGAGCCCATTCCTGCACCCCGCATCCCTCCTGCACCCCAACCCCCTGCCCTGAGCTCCCTCCCGCAGTCTGCACCCCTCCTCTGCCCCCAATCCCTTGCCCTGAGCCCATTCCTGCACCCCGCACCCCCTCCCACATCCCGCACTCCCTCCCTCACCCCAACCCCCTGCCCTGGCCATGCATACAATTTCCCCACCCAGATGGGGCCCTCGGCCCAAAAAATTTGCCCATCCCTGCTCTAGATAATGCCTTACTCAAAGGCTCATTGTGATCATTAACTGATGTTTGTAAATGGAAAGCACTATGTGAGAGATTATGAGAATAACATCTAGTTGTGCATTAAATCTTTAAAATAATCTATCAGATTATTAACAGTATGTCCAGTTCTCTAGCTACAGAGTATAAATTGGTTATAAATCTATGGAAGGGGATGTGTGTTAGTAAACAATGTGATTAATAATTATTGGGCATATTTTTACAAATAATTATCAAAGGTTTGTTTCTAATTATCCTGTGGAATCTGGGATCAAAGTACTTACTCCATTACTGAACCATTTAGTTACTTATTATTTATGTTGCAAAGGGCACAGTGCCTACAAACCACCCCTTGGATTACTTGTGGCATTGAAATAAAAACAGAAGCAAATGTGTGTTTAATACAGGCTTGAACCATTTTGATTAAACGATATTGATTACAAACACTTTTCTTCTTTTTATTCCTTTTTTATATCCTTTAATTAATCTGAGAAAACTGTCTTGTACAATATCACACACCTTCGGCCTACAATAAAGATAATTATTTTTGGGTGCATCGAACCTTAATTAAAAGTAAAGCTATCCAACCAAAATCTTGTAGTTATCACAACTGTGGCAGACCAGCCTGTCATCTGTACAGGTTGGTGTACCTTGGAGCCAGCATACACTGCCTTTCACAGCTGCTCTGGGCTTGAAAGTGGTGGAATTTGTGTGCATTAGGCTCTAGGTGCTGAACAAGCTTTGATAATTGTCAGTTTTTAACGCACATGAAAGACACGAATTAAGCAAACCTTACAACACACTTGTGAAGTAGATACTATTACATACATTTTACAGATGGCTAAAGCAAGGCACAGAGACCTTGTCCATGGTCACACTTTGTGGGAGAATTAGGGCAATTCTACACTGCAGCGCTACATCAGTGCAGCTGCACCACTGTAGCGCATCTGGTGAAGATGCGCTATGCTGACAGGAGAGTGCTCTCCCATCGGCATAATTACTCCATCTCAGCGAGAAGCAGAAGCTATATTGGCGGGAAAGCATCTCCTGCTGACAAAGCGCTGTGTGGAAAGTGCAAAACTTGTATGGCTCGGGGCAGGTTTTTTTCACACCCCTGAGCGATGTAAGTTAGACCAACTTAAGTGATAGTGTAGACCTGTCCCTAGGAAGAGAACCTCGGAATCCTTTGTGCAGTGTTCTGTTCTAATTACTAGACCACACTGACTCTGTTTTTCATTTTATAGTGCCCAAAGGGGAAGACATTGATACAGGAGCAATGCTTTGCAGATTAACAATTCTCTCAGAATGAAAACTACATACTGGATGAAATCCTAGCCCTATTGTAATCAATGGCAAAATTCCACTGACTTTTATGGGGCTAGGATTTCTGCCACAGTGTGTACTGCACAAGGCTGAGAGTTAGCACTTTGTCTTAAAATCTTTTTTAAATAAAATATGAATAAAAATCTAGGCCAAGATTTTCAAAAACAAGTGCCTAATGTTAGGTTTGTGAATCCAAATTTAGGGACAAAAATACATGTCCTGAGTTTCAAAAGTGCTCAACAGCCAGCTACTTCCCTTGACTTCTATGTTGGCTGCTAGATGCTCAGCACTTTGGAAAATCAAACTACTTATTTAAGTGCCTAAATATGGACTTAGGAACCTAACTTTAGGCACTTGGTTTTGAAAATTAAGGACATTTACATCACTACAAATGTAGTGCATTTTAATTTATGGTACAGATGGGTTAAGGAAGTGATGATTAGCTATAGGCTAGGTTCAAGTCTCAGTCAAGGCTGGTTCAGCAGCCACTGAAATTTTATGAACTGTTATTGTAAATCTGAGGCCCCAAATGACAGAAATATAGTTAGTTCAGATGATCCTGCAAGATTTCCACTACCTTTGAATAATGTATATTTCATGAGATCAGATGTTCTTTTGAGAGTTCAATGGCATCAAAACCAAAAGAAGAAAATAGATCCAGCCCAGTTTGGGATCCAACGTAGGACTAAAGCTACATTAGTTGGTTTGGATCTCAGAATCAAATACAAGTGTTTCACATTCAATCCTGAAATTCAAAAAGTGGTTAGATTCAAGGGTTGCTAGTCTAGTCCACTCTTAATTTACAGATTTATACACTTTCCTCCCTACTGAGAAAACAAAAAAATCTGACCTCATCAGCAGGAGTACTGGCAGGTGCCACAATTTCTTCTTCTTGGACAATCTGAGCTGGAACCTAGGTGAAAAAAAATCAATGTAATAGACAGAATTTGTATCCTAGCTACTAACTACTTTTCTATTACACTTATTTTGGTTTCAATTTCATTTTAACATACATTTTAAAATAAAATTTTAGTCTACCCAACAGTAATAATAGACAGAGAAATACTAGCTTAATAATTTGTGCTTCAAAATATGTACGCACAAAAATTATGTACTTGTTAAGAAACAGAAGCGCTGATCCAGCAGACTTTACTTTGACTTCAGGCTGAGTATGGACTTCAATGGGACTTTTGCCTAAGTTATGGCTGAAGGATTTGGCTCAAAGTATTTAAATAACGAAATGTGTATATTTCATATCAGTAAAAGAAAGTCAGTTCATAAATAATTTATATGAACTCATAATCAGCATTAATGTTTGAAAGTGATTTATCACAACCACAAGGAATGAGTGTGGTTTACAATACCAAAAACATTATACCAAATACCAAAACCTCCTTCCATTATGCTGAAATGGCTAATGATCAGCTTAGTAGAAGGTTTCTGAGTAAACAGGTCATTTAAGGAAGTTTACAAAATAGCACAGTTATGACAATCTCTATAAAGTTTACAGAAATTTAAATCCGCACTAGACTGAATTTGGAATTAAAAAAACTTCAGAAAGTAATTCTAACAGTGAAAAGGAAAAATCTCTTTTCCACAATATACCACTAAAAGTAAAAAGCAAAGTAAAAGAAAAGTAAACCATCTTTTCCTGCTATACAATGAGGATATAGATTAAACACACTGGGCCACAATCTGCACTTCTTTCTCACATAAGTAGTTATATTGACTTTGTAGGGACAAGGTGTATGAGTAAAGCAAGCAGCACTTGATCCATGTCAGGACACCTTAGTTTCCTTTGCAATGTTATGACACCACTTTCTCCATAGAAACATAGGTATTTTACTTTGCAAGTACCAGCTTAGCAGGTGCTTTGGAATTTTAAAACAAGAATTAATTGTAAACACTAATGGAACATAGGGAGTGAAAGGAACTAGGAGCAGAGAGAAAATTTAGCTAGGAAGGTTTGTGAGAGCAGAAAGCTGCAAATGCTCTGCATAAAGTCAAGGAACTTCATTTTGGCTTGATGGAGTAAAATAAATTTTGGGAAACTACCTGACTAAATACATTCTAAGAAAAATATAAGAGAAGGAAACAATTAACAGTCAGAGTAATGCAAAGTAGCTTTAGAGTAGAAATAACCTTAGATGTATTGTTTTTCCAGGCAAAGAAAAATTTTGCTGCCCCTCCCACAATGCATCTCCCCAAACCAAACAAAAATAAATCATCAGAATTTTATACTACAAATATAAAATCATATCCGTGATGGGATCAACCCTACAAGACTACCTGGCAAATAGAAAAAAGAAATGTGTATTTACGGCTCTCTCTCTCATTCTCTCATTTACACACACATTCTATTCTTTTGTATCATATTTAATTTCTTTCTGTTTTCCTCTCTATCATTTATTATTTCTGTTCCCATCCTCCATTTGTCCCATTCTTTCTCTTTCCTTAGGACCGTTATCATTTTTCCCCCTCTAGGGCTATCCCCATATCTTCTGATGGCTTTCCTTCACACATCTTCCTGAACCACCAACTCTCCGCAGCTGTCTTTCTTTACCCTTTGCCCTTCTCTCATGCATCCTGCACCATTTCCTAGAAGCTTAACTATGCCTTTCCAAGGATATCCCCCAGTAAAGCACATTGCATTCTAGCCTTATAGTTACTTAGGCACAGATTATTGTGGTGGCGACTTCAAAAGGGTTTATTTCCCGAAACTGAGGGAAATTATGGGCAAAACTAATTGGGAGGAAAAATTTAGACAGAAATACATGAATGAAAATTGGGAATTCTTTAAGATGAATTTCTTGGATGGCCATCTGGTGAGGCAGAGTGGCCTCCCACTGATGCAGAGGGGGAGGTGTTGCCCCTCGAACCCAGATGGGTGGAGTCTGGCCAGTTATGCTGGTATGCCCTGAATATGAGATTTGAACATTAGACTATAACCTATGAAATATTTGACTTAGGTACCTGGATGGAGGCCTGAGGCTGGATCACTTTAAGGGAACTGTATTGTTTGGACTTCTGAGTAACCAGTAAGGTAATAAAGAAGCTGTTTTATGCTGTCTTGGTAAATCTAAGTATTGGAATATCCACCAGCTTTATAGGGATTGTCTGCCCCATTTGTTGCAGTTCACCCTAATTGAGTGACCATAGCTGGCCCCCACTGGGACTCCATTCACATAGGGAAAAATCCATGCTAACAGGGCTAAGGACAATAGGAAGGAGTTTTTTAAGTATATTACAGGGGTGGCCAAACTTACAGACCCCTGAGCAGCATACGACAATTTTCAGAAGTTTGCAAGCCAGGGCACACCTGCTGGGAGTCAGGTGCCGGGGCTCAGGGTTTCAGCCCTGCTCCTGCTGAAGCCCAGAACCCAAGCAGGCACGCCCTGTGAGGCTGAAGGCCCAAGATCCTCCTCCCCACTGGGCAGAAGCCTCTATCCCACCACCCTGCTGCAAGGCAGAGTCCCAAGCTCCCTCCTCAGTCTGGTAGGTGGAGAATGGGGGAACCCCGAGGGGGAATCTGTGAGCTGCACTTTAATTATAAAAGAGCCGCATGTGGTTCATGAGCCAAAGTTTGGCCATCCCTGGTATATTAGGGACAAAAGAAATCCTAGCAATGGTAGATGGAGATGGTAAAATTATTAATAATGGTGCAGAAAAGACAGAAGTGTTCAATAAATATTTCTGACTTTTTTTTAAATAAGAGGGAGGATGTATTCATATCACATGAGGATGATGAAGCAATTTCCAGTCTGTTAGTTGCTGAGGAGGATGCTAGACATCATCATCTACTAGTGATAAACATTTTAAAATCAACAGACCTAAATAGCTTGCACTAAAGAGTCTTAAAAGAATTGGCTGAAAAAATCTTTGGCACACTGATGTTAATTTTTAATAAGTCTTGGAAGACTAGGGAAATTCCAGAACACTGTAGGAGTGTTAATGTTGAAAGTGGCAATATTCAAAAAGAGAAAGCAGGATGACCCAGGTAAATATTGGTCAGTTAACCACACATCAATTCCAGGAAAGATAATGGAAAAGCTGGTACTGGATTTAATTGATAAACAATTATACAGGATTTAATTGATAAAGAAAGAATATAAAAGATCCTTGGATGTATAAACTGGGGGGATAGAAAGTAAAGGTAGGCAAGTGATTTTGCATCGTGTACAGCAGGGGTCAGCAACCTTTCAGAAGTGGTGTGCTGAGTCTTCATCACTCTAATTTAAGGTTTCGCATGGCAGTAATACATTTTAACATTTTTAGAAGGTCTCTTTCTATAAGTCTATAATATATAACTAAACTACTGTTGTATGTAAAGTAGATAAGGTTTTTAAAATGTGTAAGAAGCTTCATTTAAAATTAAATTAAAATGCAGAGCTCTCCGGACCGGTGGCCAGGACCCGGGCAGTCAGAGTGCCACTGAAAATCAGCTTGCGGGCTGCCTTTGGCACATGTGCCATAGGTTGCCTACCCCGGTGTACAGCATTGGTGAGACCAATATTTGAATATTGCTTATCGTTCTTCCACCCACATTTTTAAAAGGATGTTGAAAAATCTGAGAGGGTACAGAAAAGAGTGACAAAACCGATTCATAGAATAGAATCATAGACTCATAGAATATCAGAGTTGGAAGGGACCTCAGGAGGTCATTTAGTCCAACCCCCTGCTCAAAGCAGGACCAAGAGCTGGAGAAAATATCTTAAAGTGATACATTTAAAGAGCTCAATCTCTTTATCTTTTTTAAAAAAAAAAAAGATTGAGAGATGACTTAATTACAGTTTATACATACTTTCATGAGGAGAAAATACCAGACTCTATCAGAGAAAAGCATAAACAAAAACTAATGACTGGAAACTGCAACCAGTCAAATTCAAATGAAAAGTTAGGTATGCATTTTTAACTGTCAGAGTGATTAACCATTGGTACACTTACCAAAGGAAGTGGTAGAGATTCTCTACCTCTTGATGTCGTCAAATCAAGTTATTTGGTTCAATGCTAGGTAACCAGATGAAATGTAATGGCCTGTTATATAGAGGGGGTTAGATTAGATGACACCTAATGGTACCTTCTGGCCTTAAACCAGTGGTTCTCAAACTTTTGTACTGGGGACGCCTTTCACACAGCAAGCCTCTGAATGTGACCCTCCTTATAAATTAAAAACACTTTTAAATATATTTAACACCACTATTAAAGCTGGAGGCAACGTGGGGTTTCGGGTGGAGGTAGACAGCTTGCGACCCCCCATGTAATAATCTCATGACCCCCTGAGGGTCACGACTCCCAGTTTGAGAACCTCTGCCTTAAACTCTATGAAACTATGAAGAATCAGAAAGAAATGATAGCAGTCTGGGATAGCTGTATCTGAAATAGCATCACCACCAAGAGCAGAGATGCATCCAAAACTTTCCTCCTCCTGCCCAAGAATGAGAATAATGAAGATCAAAGACACTTCAAATAGAAGACCATGCCTTCTAGATATTTCCTCCTCCTCAAATCAGCATCTCCTCCATCTTATCTGGGCTCATTTTTAACCAGTTTCCTCCCAACCACTTCACCACACTTGTCAGATTGATGACACTGCAAAACAAAAAATTCTCACTATTTCCCCTGAAGTCTTGACATATATATTGGAGAGGATGGTTGGCAAGTTGGAACCCTGCAGTATTCTGCTTGTCAAAGATCTTGGGGAACTAAAATAATGCTTTCATTCTACCCTTTAGCACCTTTCAAAGAGGAAGGAAAGAGTCCACTGAAGGGTTATCTTCCTGAAAGATCCCACAGACAAGTTATCAAAGCCTAGTAGTTATTAGTATCAAAGGCTGCTGATAGCTTTTGATCCTCATCAGCATGTACACCATTGCTGAGAGAGATTGCCATCAACAAAACCACCTGTGCAGCTAA